TCTTGCGGCCTCCTGTGGGCCTTTTGGGGGGGACGCTCTCCTGTTGGGTCGCATTCCCCGTCTTGGGCCTCTCTTGGGGCTCTTGGGGCTCTCTCGGGCCGTCTTGGGCGCTTCAGGCACCGTCTTGGGGCCCTCGCGGGAAGTAGTGGGGCCCTCTTGGAGGCCTCTTCCTCTATATGGGAGCGGTATTGAAAGCCTCTTGGGCCGTCTTGGAGCATCGGGATGCCAAAAGACAGAAAAAAATAAAACCCGTCAAAGCCCAATCGTAAAACAATGAATTGTGCCTCTTGGGGCCACCTTGGGAGATTTCTTGGAACCTCGTCGGCCCTCTTGGGAGCTTCTTGGGGCCTCTTGGATTCCGATTGGGGGCCTCGCTGGGACTTCCCGAAACCTCTCGGGTGAAAGCTCGGATTCTCTTGGGCCGTCTTGGGCCTCTCTTGGGGCCTTCTTGGGGCCCTCTACGGGCCGTCTTGGGCGCCTCAGGCAACCGCCTTGGGCCCATCGTGGGCCGCCCAAGGAACTCTTGGAAGCCTCTTCTGCTATCTTGGAGCTGTCTGGGAGGCCTCTTCCTCCTCCTCGTCCCCCTCCTCCTCCTCCCACTCCAGCTCTCTCTCCTCCTGATCTTCCTCCTCCTCCTGCAGCGTGTTCCGGAAGGCTCCCGCCAAAACATGCTTGTAGCAACAAGTGCTGTCACTGCTCCCGCCACCGTGCCTGGGTGGTGGGTCATGGCTCAGGGTGTTGATTTGGATCTCGTGGTTGGCCTGATCGGGGACGTCCCGTGAAGGCAGTTTTCCGCAGCTTCTCGGTACCGTTTGGGGACCGTTGTGGGGCCTCCTCGGGGCTGTTCTGTGGCCTCTTTAGGCCTCGTTTGGGCCTCCTGGGTGCCTCTTGGGGGCCTCCTGGGGCCTCTTGGGGGCTCCTTGGGGCCTCCTTGGGCACTCTTCAAGCGGGAGGGTCGAATTTTGGAGTCGTGGTCTCCCTCTTGGGCGCATCTCAGGGCCGTCTTGGGGCTCTGTTGGGCTGTTCTGGGCGACTCTGGGGCCGTCTTGGGGCCCTTCTGGGCCGTCTTGCGGCGCTCTTGGGGGCCTATTGAGCCGTCTTGGAACGTCGGACAGCCGAAAAGGCTGGAAGGCCAAAATCGTTCGAAAACCTTAGTACAATTGACGATTTCGGCCTCTTGAAGCGCTCTGGAGAGGCGTCTTGAAGCGTCGTGGGGTGCCTTGGGGGGGCCTCTCGGGCCGTCTTGGGCCTATCTTGGACGTCATGGAGCGGTCTTTCGGCGACTCGGGCCCGCTTGGGCCGTCTTGGGAGCCTCAGGAGGCCCTCCTGGACTATTTTGGACCTCCCCGGCCGCCCCGTCCTCCCATGGGGGGTCGGAGGCGGCGGCCTCCGAAGCCCAGGACGCGGAAACCCTATAAAAACAGAGAAAATGAGCCCCGGTCCTCCCATGGAGGGTCGAGGCAGCTGTTTTCGGGCCCCGGGCCTGCTCCCCCGGTATATATATATATATATATATTATATATATATATACATATATATTAATATTAATATTAATATAGATACTTGCGCACTCGTGGCACAAACCCACCCCAGCACTCAGGGGGGTTTCGTGTGCACTACCGAGGGGTTTCGTGCACTACCGGGGGTTTCGTGCAGCCCGCACCGGGTGCCGCCAGCGGCTTAGAACCCCCCCTTGCCGCTTTACCGGGGGGTTTCGTGCAGGCCGCACTGCGTCTACCTGGGCTCCCCCCCCCTCTGTGGGAGTGGGGGGGTGGGAGTGGGGGGTGGGTTGGGGGGGGGGCAGAGGGGGCGGTTGGGAAGGGTGGCTCCCTGTCGAAGTGTGGCGTGTGCTCGCCTTGTGTTCTCTATTCGCGTCTGCTCGCCTTTGTTCCGCCGCAGCCTCTCGTATTGTGGCTCGTGGCCACAATACGAGAGGCTGCAGCGCAACTCCCGAGAGCCGCTGTGGGGGGTCGACGGCGCGGCCGCGTAGAGAAGAACAGTGCCGCCGTGTTCCGGCACGGCCCTGGGATGCAATGCCGCCGCCGTGTTCCGGCCCGTCCTGGTAAGATTCGCGCGTCGGGGCTGGGTTTCGCGCGTGCTGGGAGCGCGCCGCTTACGGAGGGGTTGCGTCCTTACCGGGGGGTTTCGTGCAGCCTACCACAGGAGGTCGTGTTTACCGGGGGGTTTCGTGCAGGCTCGCACCGGGAATGGCGCCAGCTCACGACACACCCCCAGGGATAGATTACCGGGGAGGTGGGTCGCCCCGCACCGGGCACCGCATAATATATATATATAATATCATATATATATCACATATTTCAAAAAATATAAAATATATGTATCGTATGGATATATATATACCTCCATATATGCTATATTATAATATTATATATATATAAGTCAGTGCGCGTGGTGTTGTTTCAAAAAAACACTGATCAACAATCCACGCTATGAAAGGCGTGTTCTGTAGATTCGATGCCTTCTGCGGCCCGCTCGGGACGGTGGTTTCCCATCCTCAGACGTATCAAACGATGATGAGAACGACGGCGACGACGACGGTGACGGCGACGATGACGACGGCAATGACGACGATAACGACGACGACGGCGGTGACGATGATAAAAATGATGACGACGACGATGATGATGACGACGGTTGCGACACTGACGACTACGACGTTGCGGCAAGTAGGAGTGGCATTATGACGACAATGACGATGATGATGACGATGATGACGATTGTAAGGATTTGGTGACGACGACGATGAAAATGATGACGACGATGACGATGATGACAAAGATGACGATGATGATGATGATGATGACGGTGATGGTGATGATGATGAAGATGATGATGATGATTACGATGGCGGCGACGACGTTGATTATGACGATGGTGAACGATGATGACGACAACGACAATTGCGAAGGCGGCGGCAATCGGCGGCGGCGTCGGCCCCGCCGCCAGGCGAGCGAAGGAGGGGTAAGAGGGGCAGGATAAGTAGGATAGGTTTTGGGAGAGTAGGATAGCTCTGGAGGAGTAGAATAGAATAGGAAGAGTAGGAGGCCTCAAGACGGCACCCGGGAGGCTTCGAAACAGTTTCCAAAAGGCCCGCGAGAACCCTCCCAAGAGACCCCAGCGAA